GATCATTGGAACTCACGCCTTTTTTGTGTGCTGTTGATAACTAGTTTGAAGTGAATAAAATTTTATAGAATTTCTCGGGAAGAGCATTTATCCCTTACTCTCTATCTAATATGCCTTGACACACTGACAAACTTTGATATGCAAATTACTTACAAGCAGATATGGCGAGTTTTAATTGACAAAGCGGCCGCTGTGTAGTGGTTAGCATTACGCGCTACCATTCCTCAATCCAAAGATTGGAATTTTAATGATTTTCGATTGCGATTTCTTATTTAAAATATTTTCAAAACCACAACTTGTATCAACACTAAACCACTGTACAGCCATAGTCTCGCTTACTCACATGCGGTTAACCAATATGGCGACAGTGGCATCACATATGGTACGTATATCCGGCAAAACGAACACAAAAGGCCGTAAACTTGGGTAACTACTATTTCACAAAATATATGGCAGCATTTCCATAAATTGTATGGGCACATACTTTATTAATGTAAGTTTGTAGTTTGTAGTTTGCTACCACCATGTGACGGTACTTAGGTACTCCCAAGTTGTGCGCAAAGTTACTTCGGAGAATAAAACAAAAAAAAAAAAAGAAGAAAAACTAAAGGAAAATGTAAACAAAAAAAAACAACTAGAAGAATAAAGCACAAATTTTGCAGTTTCAGATTTCGAGGTTACCACACTACCTTGGCCCTTAGCTGCTGGCATTCGACGCTTGACGGCCGCTACGGACGGCTGCTGCAGTTGCTATGTATGTTTGTATTGTTGAGGTGCAAGAAAGTTGGAATGTACCATACATACTAATATTTGTATGTATTTGTGTAGGTATATATTAATGGCTGGAGCTCGCAGGCGGTCGACCGGATGCAACGCATCTTGGGAGTTTCTATTGTTGCTCTAATGATATTACTCGTAGAAATATACAAGTGCGCATTCATACATATGTATGTAGATATTTACTTAAGTGCTAAGAAATATACATATTTATGTACATACAAATCGTAGAGATATATATCTGTATCATATGTCTGTATACACACCATTGCTTGCTACGAATAGCAATTTGCGTGTTTATCGACATCCACAATCTGGCTTTCTGGCCAACGTAAAACGTCTGAAATCACTTTTAGTTAGCTTAGTTGAATGGGTATACAAACCGTGAAGCTTTTCAAATATAATACAAGGGTAGGCATGTGGG